TCTCTACATATGAAAAAAAGCATTTATTTTTTAAAAAAGAGCCACTTAACAATTTTCTTTAAAATCTCAGCAAATCAAAAGTAGATGATAACCTTCTAAAGCTATTTAAAAAACCCCTATCCTTCCATAAAAAAGACATCAAATATTTCAATGATGAAATATTAGAAGCAGTTCCTTTACAATCAAGAATAAGTTGAAGATGCCAACTCTACCAGTCTGTTGGCATTTTACTGGAGCCAACTAGGTAAAACAAGAAAAATAAAGAAAAAGAAAAATGATTTAAAAAGGAATAAACTCCCAGCAGATACAGCTGTTCACAAGAAAATCTAAAGCACCCGTAGACAAATTTTCAGAATGAATAAATTCAGCTGGATGGCTGGATATAAGATAAATATACAAAAACATATTGCATTTCTATTTTTAAACAAGAGCTAGAAAACATTTTACACACACAAAAGCAATGAAATCAGCCAAATAAGTAAAGTTGCAAGAAATAAGTCCAATAAAATAAACACAAGATCCATACAGAAAAAAATAAGACATTAAAGAAATACAAGTGTCAAAAATATGTGCCCCAAATTCAAAGCAATCCCAAAATCCCAACGAGTTTTTTAAAAAGTTAATTCTAAAATTTAAATGGATGAGCAAAAATCTAGAAATAGTCAGAACACTCCTGAAAAAGAACAGCTTCAGGAATTTGCCCTATTTTATACCAAGGCAATAGTGACAGCAGTCAACATACTGTGATTATTAACCCATGGACAAACAGAAGAGAGAGATAAGAAACAGATTCACACATATAAAGAAAATTAATATGAAATACATTGTAAAAGGAGAATCACTCAATAAATGTTTCAGGGACAAATGATTATCCATAAGGGGAAATATTTTTTAAAAAAAGAAAAAAAACTGGAACCCTAATTAACATCATATTTCTTTAAAAGTCAATACCAGATAGATTTTTATGAATGTGGAAGTTTTTCTAGAACAAAATATTTTTAAAAAGCTGTGTAAGACCTTGTGGTAAGGAAGAATTTCTTAAGACAAACAAAATATCCCAACAACAACAAAAAAATCATTAAAAAGCAAGATCAATAGGTTGATAATACTAAAATCAAAAAGGCACTTGAAACGAAGAGAAAAATTAAGGCAAAAACTAAGCTCATGAAATGGATAAAACAGGTATTTATCCAAAATACATTAACAATAGAAGAATTTTTCAAATGCATAAAAGGTAAGAGCAAGCACTTAAACAAGGTAGAATATAAATAAAGACATGATCGACATTATTAGTGATCAGGGAAGAGAAATCAAGAACAGAACAAATATTAACATTTACCCACTCAGCCAGAAAAATTAAAAACACCTGAAGTATTGAGGAGAACAAAGTGAGTTCTTAGACACAGATGGTGGGCATGTAAATTTTCCAAAGAAAGATTTTTGGAGAACAATTTAGCATCAAACATCTACATTCCCTGTATATGCCGTGGAAAACTTACCCACGTGCACCAGGATCTGAGGCTATTCATAGCTGCATTGTTTGCAACAGCAAGGTAGAAGTAACTCAAGAAGAGAATGGAGGACAAATCATTTCACACAATGAAATATTATTACAGCAATGGAAAGAAATAGCTACATGCAACAACATGCATGAATCTTAGAAATAATGTTGAGTAATAAGGCTGTTACAATTACAGAACAATTTTATTTTTAAAACTCAAAACTCAAGCAAAAGTAAAACATATATTGTGTGAAAATATGTAATTATTTTTAGGAAGCACTAAGTTGATGACAGTAAATAGCTCTACAGAGCAGGTAGTAGGATGCAGTGGAGATGAGCTTGTGTTGATGCAACGGTATTAGCAATGTGCCAGTTCTTAATTTGGGTACTGGAATTAACGATGATCATGCTATTCTTATATTTTATAATACATTGCATATATTAATTTATACATACAAATATTGCAGGATTAAAAATTTGAAAGAATTCAAAACAAAGCTTACTCAAGTGAAAGCATATAAAATCTCTAATTAATTAATCTATTTATTTACTCCAAGTTTACTTTGTAAACTGGAACATATTCCATTACCACATCTGTTATATTCACTATTTATTTTATTTAAATCCCACAGAATACTTTTAGAAATAGTGTTAAGCACAATGAATGTTAATAATAAGTAAACAGCATTGTAAGGAAGAATGCAATGACATTATGGAGTATTGTGTGACTGTTGCACACTGTATTTATTCCAAATTGATTAAAATAAAAATAAATCAAATTCAGGTCACTTTATTTTTGTTCATAAACAGAAGAATGTAAGAAATGTGTTAATGTAACTTAGTGCCATTGAATTACACCAAACAGATTAATCCTTCCTTAAAATGTTAGAAAACAGGAAAGATATTTTAAATCTATCAATAAGCAAGATTTTATTAAGGGCCTATAATTATGCTAGATGTTTCTGAAGATAAATTACTTATCCAATTAGTATTTTTAAAAAGTAGAAGGGGAGTAAAAACCTGAAGTAAGCTAAGGACAAGTGTCTTCAATGGAGTTCAAGCCTTGGAACTGTGAGCATCACAGAAGAAAAGTCAAATGTAGAAAAAAGTCACACTGTCAGGGGGAAGAGAACAAAAATAATTGGGGAAATAGTGGAAAGTGATCTATCCTGGATGACACATTTTAATCAAAGAAAACAATAAATAAGTCCAAATATTTGATGTATATTATTCAAAGAAATGAACTTCCTTTAATAAAGTAGCTCAGCAAGTGAAGATCTGAGAAATCTCAACACCTCTATTACTCAAAGATTTTAGCTAATGTTATTAAAAACAAACTGATATTATTCTTTAATTGTATTTGAGAGGAAAACTATTTTATTTTTAATTTGCCCAGAATGTGCAGGCAAAAATGAAAGCCAAGTAGCATTCTAGGCAGTGAACTGCGCAGAACAATGTTCACTTGGTATTCACCGTAGATCTTAAATAAGCATAGCCTGCCAAATGTAGCCCACTAGATCATTCTGAACCTCATTATCCAATTTCTTTCTCTAGAACCTTTGTTCCATTTCCTCTTGCCTATCAGGCATTTAGTTCACTGTTCTTAAAACTCTTTGCCACAGGGATAAAAAAGAAGGAAGAAGAAGACAAGCACGCATGTATTTTCTACTTGAAGCAGCACTACACCATTACTGGATGTGAAAAAGGATGACTGTGATCAACCAGGTTTGAACAGTAAGATCTCTTGCAGCCTGAGTGTCTTAAATGCCTCACGTCTACAGCAGTGTGGGGAAGGGACTGTTAGTCAGTCTTTCAAAGGCCAGCATGGCTATGGTGACTTCTCTGTTCTTTCTAGACTAGCTTTTCTACAAAAATGTCCTCAAAGGGTCATATCTGTGATGCACCTCTTTGAGATTCCATGGAAGGCGGTGGTGGGGGAAGAAGAAAAGGAAGGAAAATACTTTGAGCGAAGGGCACATCACAACCTAAATGCTCAGACGAACTTCAAACAATCTTGGAGGCCTCACAGGCAAGTCCTTAAGGTATGGAGAGTGGAGAGCTTAGATGGCCAAATATATTTCTACTAAAGATGCCTAGTTAGGACCCTAGCTGGATTTAAAAGATATTTTTTACAAAACAGACTTCCAACTGGAATCCTATGTGGCTAAGTTACTCAGCCAAAGCATTCCACTATAAAAAGAAGAGACAACAAGGACGAAGACATAATAAATCATGAAATACAAACTCCATAAAGATAACTTTAACTATGGCCTTTTAATCAATTTTACTCATTAACAGAGTGTTGGAATACCCCTACCTCATTGTCTACCTCTTTTCACAGGCTGTTCTACATCAAATGCATTTTTTTCACATTACCTGGAAAAAGAATCAGTATGCATTCTATGATGAAAACAAATTTTTACCTTTAAACTTTTTATTTTTATACAAAACCAAAACCATTGTAAAGCACCGAAAAAACACAAAGACTCATACAGTTGATACTTGAACAACATGGGGGTTTGCGGTGCTGACCCCAGGGAAGTTGAAAATCTGCATGTAACTTTTGACTCCCCCAAAACTTAACTACTGAGAGACTCCTGTTGACTGAAACCCTTATGGACAACATAAACAGTCGATTAGCACATTTTGTATGTAGTATATATTATATTCTCATAGCAAAGTAAGCTAGAGAAAAGAAAGTATTTCCTCAAATTGTTGCAAATCTTCAAAAAGCTTTCCAATATGGTTATTGAAAAATATCCACGTATAAGTGGACCTGCATAGTTCAAACCCATGTTGTTCAAGGGTCACCTGTTAAGTAAAAAACATTTTCTCATCCCCTTCTCCCATCACTGTAAACATATTTGTATAGACATCCTTGTAAAGTTTGCCCAATCACATATAAGCATTTGTAAGTGTACATACATGTGTGTGTTTGTCACTGATTGAACATAAAAATTGGAATATTTTACAAGCTACACTGCAATTTCATTTTTCTCATTTAGCAATAAATCATTACTATCCATTGAAATAATTTATACTTTTTAAAAGCCATATAACACCCAGATATGAATGTACTACAATTTAATCAACTATTCCTCCACTGACTAGCATTCAGATTATTTTAATTGTTTTAGGTTTCTGTCATTACAAAAAATGCTGTATTATAAGAACACACATAAACACACATAGCCAGCAGTATCCATTTTATTGGTACTTCTATTGCTATGGACAGTCTCACAAACAGGACTTTTCAAAGAGCTCCAACAACCTTTCACACTCCTACCAGCAACATATTAATATGTGGGAAAGAGCTACAGAATATGCTTTGTAGCTAAAATATTTACAAGGCAAAAGTCCATATACTTTTACACACCAATTAGTTTGAGGTAATTTTATGATGTTTCCATTGACTGACCTGGTATGGCTGAAATGATACAGTATCTGTATAGGAATCTCTACAAGAATAAAATCTATATTGGGGTTGGTTTTAATTTACCTTTTTTTGATACTTCTGCCCCGTTAAGTTCTTTTTGTGCTTCTTTAATTTTTTCTAAGAAAAACAAAGAAGATTTTACAAATCAATTCATCATGTACAAACAAGAATATGGCCAAACAAGCATACTACTTATAAACAGCCCTTGACACATAGTAATAGATATTTACTGAATGAACTATTTATGAAACAAATATGTGTAAAGCATTAAATTAATGATATAGTGTCACTTATTTTAAAATTATAATTTTAACCATGTCTTAGTCACTAGACTCACTTGAATTAATATTGCCATAATGCAAATAATTAGTGCATTTAAAATACTGAACTACAGTTAAAAAATGTCTAGCTGCCTAATAAAAGTATCTAATAGTAATATTTTCCCTATGAAGACATACATATTTCTAATTTATTAGATAGGTAACAAATGCCTACTAGCTTAGAAACAAGCCTAAACCAAGTTCATAGATGGCCTAAGACCTAAGCAAACATAAAGAAATAAAAGAAAGGACAGAAAACAAAGGAAATAATGATTCGCATAATGAGCTGAAGAGGAGCATGAGAAACACATCCCTTTTGTCAACCCTTGATAGGACAGAGGTATCTAGGCAGTGGGAGTATAGAATACTGCATTAAAGAGATACTATACAAAACTTGTGACTACAGAACTGCCACATATGCACACAGTTTCAAAAGATTAGGTGTGACACAGAAGCATTATCTAACAAACAGTTGGGAGGGCTGCTCACAAGTGTATGGGGAAGAAGGTAAGTGTGGGCCCAGAGCTGGCAATTATTCCATCTGAGGCTTTGAGCACAACTGGATTTTGTAAATAAGCACATGTTCTACTTTGATAACAGTTCATTTAAATTTTATAAGGATATACATATTTGATGACTATGACACTAATTAATTCCAAGTTTAATACAGAGGTCTAAGTACTTACATAATGATAAAAGTTAGAAAAATACTGAAATACAGTACCAATAATTATATAACATTTTAGATAGTCCACAGAAGTATAGTTTAAAGGCTTTCAAAATAATGGTACTTTGGCCATTTAGGCCTTTCAGCCCAGACCACCAGCCCCCAACAGCGTCTCCAAGGCTAAACGTACCCCTACTGGCATGAAAGATGTGACCTCCCAAATGGCATCCTTCCCCCAAAAATAAAATGCACAGACCCCACCACAGGCCCTTCAAACTCTGCCTCTTCTCCCATCAGCCTTACCAGAAAAGCCAGAAATTCAGAGAACCTTAGATTTACTGATCGAATTTCTTTTAATTGCATATTGATCCATCTGGTCTACCAAATCAAGGCAGTATGGAAGCAGCAGAATAAAGGAAACAAGCTAGTTTGAAAGATTAAATATTATATGCCAGCAATGGTCAAAAATAACTACATGTTCATCCTGACAAATGCATTCCCTGCAGCAATATCCTATTGTTCCCTGCTAATTATTAGATCCAGAATAAGATTTAGGAAGACTAGAGATAACCTTTGAAAATAATAAAATTTTTCTTATTTACAAACTTTAGTTATTTCTCATGAAATAATAAGTGAAATTGGACACAATCCTGAAAAAAAAAAAACCCTTATTAAAAGCAGAAAGTAGATTCTATATTTGGTGGTAACGTTACTTCAGACAAAAAAATACCAAATCCATGGATGAAATCCATATTAATATAAGTAACAAAAGGACATGACCCACTTTAAAAAATAAAATACACCATGTACATTGTTGACATTCAAATGAAAATCAACAAACACATACTTTAAATATACAGCCCGTGAGAAACACAAAAAGGAAAAGCACTATTATTTCTATGCCAGCAATTCATCCAAACTTAAGAACCATAAATAATTTATGTGTATATATTATATATATTCATAGAAGTAATGACTGGGTTTAAGAGTTTATACACATGTTATTTGGCATTGTATAATAAAACAGCTTTTTCTTAATACATTCAATTATGGCTCAAAGCACCAACTCATGTTTTAACAGATTTATTTAAAGCATAATAGCTGTTATTTAGTATATTGGCATCTGGCTACCTTCTGTTTGCACTTCAGCGTAACAAATTCTTACAAAACTGACCTCAGTTTACTTTTGATCACAAATACTAGTCTTTGTTGTCTTTTTCTCTTGATAGTAACAATGTATACATCAATAGCTCCTGGATATGTATTGTATTAGGTATAACCATCTACCATCTATTTAAATGCTTTTACTCCAGTTCAATAGGTAAATGCGGCCTTCAATTAGAGAGCTTGTAACAACCATCATTAAAAGCTTTCACTTCAATTTTTATATGAAGTTGTTTATATTTAACCTATGTTTTATGATTCTCCTAGTAAAATATGATGTTCTAAAGACACTCTCCAAAGTTACAAAGTAGTCATTTATTATATGCTCTTAACTGGTTCATACAGGGTAATTTACTCCTATTTAAAGAGATGTTTATCTTTTTTTTCCCCACTATGACCCAGAGCAAGAAATATTTTTACATTCCAACCAGTTACCCATGTGCACACAGATTATGGGTATACATAATTCTGAAACAAACTTACCCATACTCTACTTTCTACCCTTTCCTATTAAAAATGAAAAATGTTGTCTTGCCCACCTACATCAATTTCACAGCCCACTGCTGGAAAGTAAACCTGCAGTTTGAAACTCACTGACATAAACATTACTTCTCAACACATCTTTACCTTTTCCTTTTTCTTTTTTTTAACCATTGTCTCTTTACCAAGAGTAATACCTCCCAGCAATAGTATATCTCATTACGAGCTTTGACTAGGCAGGGAATTCTCAGACTCTAAGACCCCTTCCTTAGTGCCCTCCCCAAATGTCATCGGATGTGCCCATTTCACAGAAAACTACACATTCAGGAAAAAAACAGTAGTCTCCCAGTTGCTATTGTTTAAAAATAAAAATAGAAGATATACATTCAAAATGGACATTCACATCATGGTGGTAAATCAAAAGTAAGGCATTCTTATTGTAATGAGTTCATACTGTATTTAAATTAAGATGTTATTCTAATTAACTCAATTTTTACTAAATATACTCGTAAGAGTTGTTACCTGAAAAAAATCCCAGCAACACATGAATGGATCCATAACCTTTTTTAAGATACATAGGAGCTCAGGGCTTAAAGACTAACAGGCCAGGAGAGGAGTACTAATAGTATAGATTAAATTTTGATTCTGCAACTATTAAAAATTTATACCTTTTTATAATTTTTCTTCTCTGATAAATAACAGAAACTATTTGTTAATGGTAAAGGCTATGCACAATCTTGTATAATGCCTTATATATTTAAAATATTTTGTTTGTACAAGACAACCACGCAAAAACATTTTATTTTCATCATCCACAAATGCAGGAAAAAAGTCTCCTTATTTATGAAACATAATCTGAAACCACTAAGCAAAAAGAATAGTCCCTAGAACCCATAAGAAATAACCTTTCTTTCAGGTTTCTGGATAGACTACTGGGAAATTAACAACAAATCATTTAGAAAAATTAAGCAAATTTCAAATTAGTGTTCACACTACAGTAAACTCTTGCTCTCTGACCATTTTCACCCAATGGTAAAGACAGGGGACCCTCTGAACCTCAAAAGCCTTGGGGTCCAGGACATCACAGCTTTGGGGACACACCCCACTAAATCATTGGGATTTAGTCGAACAAAAGCTGTGTTTTTATTGTGGGAAGTCTACCCTGCGAAACGTACAACAGAAAGAACTAGAGATAGAAAGAAAACAGAGTGGTCTCCTGGGGGAGGAACAGAGATTATTATATCCTTCAAACAATCATTTAACTATCAATTTGATGGTAAATATAGAGCCTGAGCTCCCATGTGGCTAACGAGATTCTTTGTACTCCCATTATCTCTTACACTCTCCCATTTCTTTTCAGCTCCTGCCACAAGGAAGTGCAGGCTCTACCAGATCCCGGACTCCTCCCAAAAGGCCCCCTCCCACCCCATCCTTCCCCAGTGTGGCGAACTTTCAAGATGTCACCTCCTCTAACAACCTCATTCAGAACTCCCACTCCTCCTGTGCCACCACGGCCTTGCGTGTGGAATCCTGCTTCTCTGTAGCTGCATCTCATCATTGTTAGTAATAATGACAAGAAGATGGACCTGAGTGACTTACTGATGGAATAAATGCTGACAGCCTGTCAAGTGACACGGAGAAGCAGTGATGCATTCTGAAAAACATACAATGGGATACCCGCACACAAATTTTAAATCAGCATTGGATAGCTTCACTTAAGTGAAATGAGTGGCATTTTATCCCCTTTTACATTACAAACTACTTTAACATTTGGGAAACTGCTATCAGTACACTGAAAGCACTTGAATGAACTACTCGTTACTTCATTCAATCAACAATTCTATCACCTTCATTCTATTAACTCAACCTTGTCTCATGCTGTTCGGATGGCACCTGTAACTGGCAGCTCTAACACCAGACTCCTTTACACTTAGCCCTAAATCACAAAGTAGAAATGCTAATAGTAAAAATTTATGAAGTAGATTCTAATGAACTGTAAAAGGCACCTCTATTTACTGAAGGAGATACCATCTGATTGAAAAAAGATCACCATATGTGACAGTACTATTTTTGCTACTGAATAAGCATAACTCCTACGTCCCCTCACTACACATCAGTACAGGCTCCTTCCTCTCACTGCGAACTGCTAGAGCTATTTCAGTAAGACTAAATATGTGACAATGACGTGATGTTAAAAAAATTCATCCTATCCATGTAACCATTATACGTGCTTTTCTAAATGAAGATTATCCCAGTATTCAGTACTAAATCAGCTCTGTCTACATTAGTAGCACATTTTTAACCTCTAGGCTACACAGATTTCAAACCTCCAGACCTATGTCTTTCAGGAAAAAGATACTCTACAATAATGTTGATAATCTAGACCAGTAATGTTTCAAATTGAAAAATATTGCTTGAAGGAAGTGGAAAAAAATATAAGAGACTCAACTCTGCTAATGCTAATGAATTTGAAAACTGTGATGAAC